CAGGGGAATTAAGTTGATGAGTCACACAATGGAGATCTGGGAGAGAGTTGTGGAAGCAAGACTTAGACAAGAGTGACTATCTGTGAGCAGCAGTATGTTCTATGTCGTATAAGCTTCGCCCTTTAAGGCTGTCGCTGATGGGTTTATCCCGTTATGCACAGCATAAGCACTGAAAAAAAATTTAGTCCACGCCCACCTGCTGTAATTCCTCACAGCGTCATCAGCTGTCACATGCTTTGCCTCAGCACACACCGGCCCACCTGTACATGAAGGTTGGTCCGCGGCCCGAACGCAGCGCACGAGCGCGTTCAGAGCCTTTTTTCGAGGAAGCCTCGCCTTGGGTCACGCAGAAAACATTCCCGCGATGCATGACAGCGGTCTCGAGGGGCGGAATGCTGACGGCCGTACAAACGTGACGCATCACTTAAACGCACGTTCACTCCACGAACATTACGTAGAGTGGCTAAAACATGCTCGCCGGTCAGATGGATGGACAGGGCGTTATGCAAATAGTTACAAGTTACAGTTTGCAACCCGACCCCCTTCGTTCGGAGGAGTTATAGAAACGGTCCTGTCATCATCAGACCAAATTTCATCCCTAAATGCAAAAGTCCAAGTGTTTCTGATAAAAGTAATCTCCAGAGTTCCCCAACAGAGAGAAAACACAGGGTTTTACTCACGTTACTTCCCGGTTACCAACGGACCGGAGGAATGAGACCGATCGTGGATCTGTCAGTTTTTTCAACAAGATGATCATTGACAGACCGTTTTCACATGTTGACAACCAGACAGCTGTTGTACAACATCCAGAGAAACGCATACCGATCATCCCAAAACACAGAAAATTCCTACGTTTTTTTTTCTCCTTTCAGAGGATGAAGTATCTGTTACACAGAGCAGGGATGAGAGTTTTTGTTTTACCTGGATGATCTGCTGCTCCTGTCACTCCAGACAGGAGGCGCTGATGCAGGCTCAGGTGTTGACATCACACCTGTCAAATCTGGTTTTCGCCATAAATTGGAAGAAAAGCTCGATTTTCCCGGCCCAGACAATTGTTTATCTGGGAGTAGAATTAAATTCAACCACCATGAAGGCTCGTTTATCACAAATGAGGTTCGACACTTTTAAAAGTCAACTCCGCCATGTAGACCTGGCAAAGTGGTAACAGCTATTTCCGTCTTGAAGCTGTTAGGAATGATGTCATCAGCTCACACAGTGGTTCCGCTGGGTTTGTTACACATGAGACGCCTCCACAGGTGGTTTGCGCGTCTGCGTGGGGATCCAGTAAAACAAAAGAGACGGATGATCACTGCCCCCTCCCTCCGTGAGAGCAGACCTCCGACACTGGGGAAACACCCTGGTTCTGTCAGGGGGAGTTTCCGTCAGCAGACCCGCGTCACACGTGTCAGTCTTCACGGATGCTTCGCTGTCAGGCTGGGTGGGGGGACATACCTATCTCAAGCAGTAGGGGTGCTGTGGCCCCACCACACATCAGCCCACGTAAATGTCTTTGGAGTGTCGCACAGTGCTGAATGTGATTCAACACTTTGCTCCCGTGCTACAGAATCAACATGTGTTGATTCACTCAGACAACATGATGACTGCTGCGTACATAACCATCAAGGGGGTGTGCGTTCAGCCCAGATGTTACACATTGCGCAAAAGCTACTGTGTTGGGCTCACCAAACCTGCTCTCCATCAGAGTAGTTCACATACCCGGTGTTCTGAACAGAGGGGCAGATGTGATGTCCAGGGGCGGCCCACGTCACGGGGACGGGACTCTCCATCCAGACCTGACGGTTCGGATGTGGCAGAAGTTTGGCAAAGCAGCTGTGGACCTGTTTGCGACACGAGAAGAACGCTCAGTGTCAATTATGGTTTTTCCCTGAGCCCGCGAGACGATCCACCACTGGGGGTGGATGCGTTTGCTCACAGCCCATGGCCCAAAACGCTTCTGTACGCGTTTCCTCCACCTCCTCTGATTTTACGATTCCTGAACCGAGTTCAGGAGGAGGGATCGACAGCTCTTCTGGTGGCTCCCGAGCGCGTGAACGCACCATGGTTCCCAGTCATGCAACGTCTGTTGTCGGGTCGTCCGTGGAAACTTCCGTAGAGGGAGGTCACTCTCCTTCAAGCAGGAGGAGCGATCAGGAGTTACTCAGAAATAGGTCAGCACCTGTGGGTCTGGCCGCTGAGCGGTCCCGCTTAGAGAGGATGGGTCCCCCGCAGGAGGTAGTGCGCACAATCCAAGATTCACGTGCTGCATTTACCACAGCTCTGTACACATCAAAGTGGACGGCTTTTCAGCGCTGGTGTACAGAGAAAGGTGTAGAGGCCACCTCATGCCCAGTAGGCGGCATGTTGTCTTTTTCTACAACAGCTGATGGATAGGAAGTTGGCATTCAGCACGATTAAAACGTACACTGCAGCCATCTCTTCCTGCCACGAAGGGTTCGGAGACAGAACAGCTTTTAATCACCCGCTGATGGAGCGGTTTCTAAAAGGTGTTCAGAGACGCAGGCCTGCTTCACGCCCACTTGCTCCACAGTGGGACTTAACGCTGGTCCTGCGAGCCCTGATCAAGCTCCATTTGAGCCTCTGGATCAGTTTTTCACTTAAATTCTTGTCTCTTAAAACAGCCCTGCTGCTGGCTTTAACATCCGCTAAGAGGGTGAGTGATTTATCTGCCTT